GGCCCCAACAGGCAGATGCGCGGGTCGAGCAGACCGCATGCAGGGTTGCCTCGGTCCCTAAGGTCGCTGTTTCACGTGGTGAAGGCGTGAGGGCCGACGAGAGCTGACAGGGGCGAGTTAGCGTGGCTAAGAGCCATACCCACCGACAGGTATGGCTTTGCACTTGTACCTGCCCCGTGCACGGCAGAAGCTACTTTGAATGCGGGGGATTTCTGTATCTGAAGCCCTGTTGGTGAAACTAGGTGAGTTTAAGAGGCAAAAAAAGTACTCTGGAGCAGTAATTCTACATGCAGCACTTCTGTGCCTGGTCACACTAAGTGACACTAAGGGATCTTATATTCACTTAATCACAATACAGTATCAAATGTCTCATCCCAGACAGAAAGATTTTTATCAGTAAGGCTTGTGAGCTCCACAATAAACTCGGGCCCTTCCTTTCTGTTCATCATCATTACACTTCCTTAATTTCATTGTAAAACTCACTATGAGAATGTATTTTTGTTATTTTGCTGTGATTTTGGCAAAAGTCCAAAGTCTCTCACATGCACACACAGAGCAAGTAGAGTCCTTGTTCAAAGCCCAGATTGGTGATATTTCACAAACATTATATTAAACATGCTGGAAGCTTTCTAGGTGAGAGGACAAGAAATGGGTTTAAAGACGAGATCAACTATATCTCTTGAATGTCTTCCACTTTATATGCTGAAGCTAATCAACTGCACACTTATTTCAATGTTTCTGCATCTGACTGTGTAAAGGTGAGGCACTATGTAACTTTGGTGTGATGGCTAATCCCTGTAATAAACCATGGGCAGTTCACAACATGAAGGCTATAAAGCAAGAGGTCTATTTAAAGTGTAGAAATTCCAGCTGTACTCCATCCTCATTACATATATTGCATTGGGTTCTCAGTCTAGTGGAATCTTGCCTTCCTGTCACTTCCCAAAGCAAAACTCAAAGAATGTGGTTTTACACAAAGAAACTTAGGGTATCTTGAGTTTTTCAGCTCAGTTATTTCTCAGTGCGTTGTAAAACACTCCTCAAGAAACGTTGCCTCACTAGTGATGTCTCCGTTTGAAGGCTAACAGTGGCGGAAGATGCAATAATATATTAATCCTGCTTCTCTAATGTCAAAGCATTAAGTGTTTGTGGTCAGTGGCACTGGACGTTATGTATTTGGATGGCTGTGCCTCATGCCTTAAATGCTGGGAAGGAAGCGATGCTGTAAATTCCATGTTACCCATCTGTAAGAAGTCACGTTGCGGTTTCTTGTAAGGAGATGCTGGTTTTGTGTGAGAGCCTCAGCGGTTGCAAAACGTGGCACGTGCACCTCCACTCGTTCAGTCAGTTCACAGAACCTGTTATAAAGCTGGGTCCTTCAGTGAGACAAATTCAGCATTCAAAATACATTTTTAAAAAAATCTCTTGCTGCTTTTCAAAGATATTTAAGCCTAGTGAAGTTGTATTGGCATTTCTGCCAAGAAGCATAGAATAAGATACTTTAGTATTTTAAAAATGCTATAAGATTTTTCTACACCAAAGTAGTTTCTGTAGGATTTTTTTATTAGTCATTGTGACTCTTCAGAGCAGGATTTCACTTGAGTTGATTTAGCTATATAATTTTGCAATACAGAGGAAGTTGTCTTCCCCCTTCCGGGTACCTGAAAATAACTGGATGACACTGAGAGAATATGTTCTCCCGGTCTTTAAATGAAATAATTTTAGTGTATTAGTGTGAATTCATCTGTATATTAATTTCTTTTTGCCACATTTCTAAAAAAGCAAGTAGCTTAAAGGCATTTCAAAAATACATAAGGCTTGATATCAGCCCCAAGTAAAGGGAAAATACCTGTTAATATCTTATTGTGGGTAATTGAGTTTATTTCAGTTTGGTTTTTTTTCAAAAGAAATCCAAAACTGATGGGAACTTTTTTGGGGTGCCAGGTTATGTTTAGAGTTGTCTAAGTCATATTCAGAATCATTTTCATAAAGCTCTGAAGAAAAAAAAAAATGTGAAAGGATGCTACAACGTTCATTGGTTTCAAATTTGAGAAGACAATGCCTACATAATCGTTTCAAGCAGACATAAATGTCAGCAGGTGCCAAAAGGGTGGCAGGGCAGGCCTCTTGCTTCCATTGTTCCAGTGAGGATACTTTCTCAGCTAAAAATTAAGGTTCTCCCTTCTCACAGGCAAGTTTTTAGGGATCCAGTTCACTGTGCAGCTGTAGGAATGCTGCCTGTAACTATTTTTTCCTACCACTTCCCATGAGTATTGGAGAAGGACATGTCACACTTTTTTCTGGCAGCACCAGTGTAGGCCAGATTAAAGTACCTGCGTGACTCTAGCCTAGGGGTATCAATGCGGAAATGGTGCCACAAAGAAAAAAGTGAAGGCTGTGGCTGTGGTCTGTTCTCTCATTCAGTTCACTCAAAAAAAGCCATAGCACAGAGGAAACAGATTGTTTTCCTTTAACTAACCTCTTGTCTACACACTTACGTTTGAATTGCAGAGTATATTCCATGCTGAATAGACCTGTGGTGTTTATACAGAGCAGAGGATTATTTTTTTTTTTTTTAATTTTAGTATTTTTTAAACGATTTTCACAGATGAGCTGAGTTCCTGGATACAGCAGTCTTTTAAACATTATGTTACACAAGAAGCTAAGCAACACTTCAACGACTATGACAAAGATGGTGATGGATTGGTGTCTTGGAAGGAATATAATATGCAAATGTATGATCGTGTAATTGATTTTGATGAGAACACTGTCCTGGAGGATCAAGAAGAGGAATCGTTTCGACAGGTAAAACGTTTCGGCATCAGTTTCTGTAAGCTGTTGGCAAAAGGTGGCAATGCTTGTTTATTGTGACAGAACAAGATGGGCAGAAAAACCATAGCAGCTGGCACATTTTTTAACACTTTATATATCTGGGATAAGGGAGTAATTAAAGGAAAGTAATGGAGTATTAAAGCTGCTACCAACAAAACAAAGACAGAATGAAATCGTATCTCCTGAGCACGTTTTGCTAGCTGCGTGGAGTGCATGTCTATTGACAGTCTTATCACAGATCACAGTCTCCAGCCATCCTCTTAAAACACAATGGCAATCTGTTAGATTAGGTCTGTAGCCTGACCAGCATCCTGCCTTCAGCAGGGACCACTGCCACTGGTGTTGGAGGTAAAGGAAACCCTTGTACTTTTTAAGAACCTTTATTGTACTGTTCTAGCCCCTTGTTCAGTTATTTCTCAAGTACCGAGTGTGGGGTATCACTGCTGTCAGCTTTAACATTTTCTGTCCATTAGGGACCCACAGAGAAAGCAATAGCAATTTAGACATTTTTAGCAATCAAAATGCAAGTCTGATAGGTGAAGCTGGATGTAGAAACAACAGGAGTCAGGGATTAATCTCATGTATGAGAGTAGACACTTAGGAGTGGAAAGAGGCAAGGAGGAAAGGTTCACCAAGAATCACCACATTGCAGAACTTGTTTCCTTTCAAGTTACGCATTTGGAAATATATGTAAATGTTTTCCAAAAAGGAGAATAAGTGAGCTTTTAGATTATTCAGGTCTGAGTTTTTGAGTTTGTTTTCTCTGAGGATTGCTTTTAGTAAACTAGTAGAAGATAATATAGAATGTTGGCTGAAGTGAAGCTAAAACAGGGGATTTTACACACTGAAGTAGACAGGGGATTTTACACACTGAAGAAACAAACTGTAAAGCTTTGGAGGCAGTTAACTAAATAATTACATGGAATTTAAATCAAATGAGACTTCAAATGCAACTACCAGTGAAAGTTTTGAGCCCATGTTTGAGACACTGCCATCATAGGTATGTATGCTGACCTAGAACTCTTACACACTTATACTATATTTTGTTTGACTGCTTGCAAGGGTTTCCTACTTCAGCATATATTGTAAAGAGCAAAATTAGCAGTATTGTACAAGCACCGCATGTCAGCCATCTTCAGCATTTTTCTTACATTTGGAAATTAGTGATCCTACTGTAATCAAAATGGAAGAGTTAGACTATGGTATTGTTTTAGAACTCACACCAAGTGAACATTTGAATTTCCCACAAGGTGGCAGCCTTGTTCATCACTTCTCAAAAACACAAAACCAACATTTTTCCCTCAATAGTTCCAAGGTTAGGTTGCAGTCTAGTGCTTTTCTAGTAGTCAGTCCTTCTTGAAGTGCCTTCCTGTTAACTCTCAGTTAAGGTCAGCTTTTCTTTAAGAGTACATTTACTTACTTTGCAGAAGAGTTTAACATCTTACATTTTGTTACATGTTATGCTCTGTATTAATCAGGTTAGCCTAGTTTTGAGAGAACTGTCAGTAAGTAGAACATAAACTAGGACATACAATTTCAAATGCTTAAAGTATTTGGTTTGGTTTGGTTTAGTTTGGTTTGGTTTGGTTTGGTTTGGTGGCCACTCCCTTATCCAGATCAGAATCATGCTGGTAGCACAACACACTTAATCGCAGGATTCCAGCATTCTAATAGCTGACATCACATTGTTTGAGAAGAGACCAGTTATCAATTTTGTCTAAAGAGACTGTACGAAAAGAAATGCAAAAAAAAAAACAAAAAAAACTTTTGCACAATGGGAATACAGAAACAGGAAGTGTAAAACGTTCAGAAATAAGGACTTGCCTGCTGATAGTGGTTATTATTTATTTGTAAAAGACATGAAAATATTTATACTTAAAATGGTTTAGAGAAGTAATGTTTCAGTGAAATATGGTCAGATGTAATTGACACCAGTCTTGTATGAAAGGAATCTGTCTAATCCTTTAGCACATAAAATGGCTTCAGAAAAGACATTGCACACATAATATGCATAATATGCAAAGACCTTCTTTGAACTACAGACAGCCCTTGATATAAATGAGATATAGATCCAGAAGGTTAAATGTCTTAAAATGTAAATTGAAAAAAACAAAGTTTTTATATGATTCTTAGAATAAAACTACCTCAATTAAAAGCATTGTCATTGCTCTACATGATCAGTTTCTAGTGAAAATAGATCAGTATAATATGAGTAGGTAATGTGGAACAATTAATATTCTAATGAGCTTACAGCCAGCTACTCTAACGTAGTTTTTCCTTTTCATTAAGTGCTCTAACTAAATCTATTATCTAAGCTTCATTTAAAGGAGAAAAAACGTTTTGAAAAAGCTAATAGAGATGATGTTCCTGAACTAAATGTGGATGAATATGTTGCTTTCGAACATCCCGAAGAAGCCGAGTATATGACGGTAAGATTTAAGAGGGTATCTTTATCAGCTTGTGCCTAGAAATACGTGGCACCTTTCTAATGCATGTGCATAGCCCCAGTACTGCAGGAAGTATGCTTTTGAGCAGTTCTGTGGGCTGCCTTTACAGACGAAATTAAAAATCAGATAAATGTGCTGTGGATCCAGTGCTGGAGATCAGGAGCTGGAGCAGTAATTCAGTGCTTTTTTTAATTCAGAGCAGTAATTCAGAAAAATCTGTTTCAAGAACTGGTACTGCATGACAATCCCAAACTTTTGGGCGTGGACTGACATAGCTATCTCTAAACTCTCTTGGGTCAGAAATACATCAGTGAGATTTTAGTTTGAGGGAGTTTCATGCCTAATTCAGAAATCAATTCCAGTTAGGGAGATCTTTGCACAGGAAAAGGTCAAGTGTTGGTGACTCTCACTTTGCATAAAGGGACACAATGGTAACTTCTCTGGCCAAAAAAAAAGAGCATTCAAGCCCATCTGAAGCTTTAATGTGGATTTTATAATGGTCAGAGTTTGGGGGATTGTTATTTTGGCCAGGAGCACTTTGCCATTGGTAATTTTTTTCATAGCTGCTGTGACTGTTGGTGTCATTCCAGCTCAGTACTGACCGTTGGCCCCAGTTAGAAGTGCATTGGTGTCTCTGCAATAGAGCCTTCAGCTTTGGCTATCTAATGCTGCAGAGCCAAGTGCCAGGAGGAGCGCCACGCAAACAGAGCCTCTGATTGCATGGACATAACTGCTGATTATGGACAAAGCAAGAACTACAAGAACAGGGACACTAGATTCACTAGGAAACACAGAATTAAAAGACCAACCAGTTTTCCTAACTTCACAGAGTTGCAAAAACAAGACGTAGCAAATACATGACATTAAAAAAGAAAAGTGAAATGAGATGATACAGCTTAGTACAAATTCATGTTTCTCAGCTACTTTTGTGGTTTTGAATTATGCTGAATGACTTTATGTGCACCTTTCAGACTTGGATTTCATAAAACCTGACATCATAAATTCTGAAGAACAGATCTCTTTTGTTGCACAGGAACCAATTACAGCACTAGTCTGCGTAAAACAGAAAAGCAGATTTCAAATGAGGGAGTCTTTAAAGAATACCTTCTGGTTCTAAAATTATTTATTGCTGTTTCTCTTGATTACAAGGTTCTGATTTTTCACAAATCATTGTTTTGATTTTTGTATGTGTACAAAAGGACTTTGTCATTCAAGAGGCTTTGGAAGAACATGATAAAGATGGAGATGGATTTGTTAGCCTGGAAGAATTTCTTGGCGATTACAGAAGAGACCCAAGTAAGGAAAAAGGGCAGGGGCATGAAAGAAGGAACTGAACAAAACCTTTTGGAAGGGGTTGAACTGTGTGCACCTTTATTTTCAGCTTTTTACACCACCACTTGCAGGTTCTGAGTAACATCCTGTCTTTTAGAATAATTTGGTTGACTGATACTGGACATAGTAGATGATTATATCAGTCTGCCCTGTCTGTATTTGGCAGTAGCTAGTGTATAGCCCATTCCACTGTTGCCTTGGAAGTTACTTCTTGTTTTCCTAAGGACTAAAGCACATTCCTCATCACTAGGTGTGCAGCTGAAATAAGATGCAGGTTTGCAAACTGAACACACCTGTGAAAGCAGCCAGCATGAATGTAAGGTTAAACTTGCCTGGGCTTTATCAGCTCAAGGCAGCAGCTGTCAGCCTTGCTTTAGAAGGATTGAAGCTGTGTGTGGTGTAGTGTAAGGAGTCTGTTCATTGTACCAGGTATCAAAAGCCTATCTGCTTTCACTTTGGGGGGGGTTTCCACTCTTGCCCTTCCTTGACTTTGTGTATTCCTTCTTTGACAAGAAAAACAACACTCTCCTCGTGTTTATCTCTACTTTCCTCTGTCTATGTTGCTAATAGATAAGTATTTTACATAGCGTATTTGATTTGTTACAGGGTAGGGCAAGTAACTCCTTCAGTTCCAAAAAGACCAGTAGCTGGAGGCATGTGGACAGTCTGCTTGGTCCTGAGGAGTGCTAATTCTCAAGTGTGCACTAGCTTCTTATCTGGGGAAACTGTTAAGTCACATGAAGATATGGAAATAGAGGAATAGTCAGTTTTTCTTCACTTCAGCCAACTACCTGGAATTTCACGTTTTATAACTGTCTTTGTTTGCCAGAGCCGGTAAACCCAACAGATCTCTGATGCAACTACAGGGGTCTTTAGATTTTTCCTCCTCTGACTTGAAAAAAGCTTTTCCAAACCAATGTATCCAAAGTTGTTGGAAAGGAGTGAAATTGTTTCTAGGGTCCTTGAGAAGATAACAGCTTTGGCATTACAGCTTTTTAGCAAGAATTCAGAATCGGCTACAATTGCAGAAATTACTTCAGCTTTTCTGCGAATGCCCATCTCTTCTGCAGACGGCGTTCCTGCAGCACACTTTAAAATGACTAATAAACTGCATGATGGGTCCGGTTTCACAATTGTCTTGTGGTTTTAGGCAACAGTGCAGGGTGAATTGTGACATTAAGGGATCATCTGCTTGCAAAACTAGATGTTAGAAAGGAAGGACAGAGACTTCATTCTTCCTCTTTTGTATTAGAAACCTGATTATTTTTAAAGTGTTATTTATCTGCCTGTGATGCTAACTACTTTTGAATTTCATAAGGTTTGGGAAGTCTTAATATCTGTTTGTGCTTGTCTGCAGTATTTATGGGTTTGATGAATTGTTCTAAATGTCTTGAGAAGTTAGAGACAGGTTTAAGATTGCTGGCTAGGTTGCAGGAGGCAATACCATTGCACAGGGTAAGTATAAAACAAGTATACAAATAAAACAAATAAAAAACAACAGTAGATTAAATTGCTTTGGATATATTCCAGGGTTTTCGGAAAAAAAAAAGTATAATATTGCTCATACTGCTCTCATATGATCCTCTCAACACAGTATCTGCCACACAATTCCTATAAGTTGGTGGTATAGAGAATAATCTCAACTCAGTCAAAGTCAGTACTGTACACGTAAAGTGTCTCTGTCATCCACTTGGGCTTCTTCCTACTGATACGTCAGTTGTCCCAGTAAGTCAGAAACCATCTACTTGGCAGCACATTCAATATAAAGTATGTTTTCTCCACTATCAATTTGGGCAATTGTGGAGCTATTAAAATAAACAGTTTAGTTGGTGGTAAACCTTGACTTTAATGTCCGCTTAGCTCAACTGAAAATTTACAATTTTAATGTTACCTTAGGTGTAGATTCCATTTTATTCTCTCCAAGTTTGTTTTTTTTTCGTAATATGTAGGCAGATGCATTTATTTAATCTATTGGGACTGGTCTCTAAGGCTTGTCTTTGCTTAGTGAAATCACTTCTATGTTGTGTTTTATGAGATTAAGTGAATTTGCTTAAGAGAAAATGTAAAAAACATCTTGAAGAGTGGCTTTAAGCTTGACAGGTGTGTTTTGCTAGCTGCAAGGGAAGACCCAGAATGGATACTTGTTGAGAAGGATCGCTTTGTGAATGACTACGACAAGGATAACGATGGGAAACTCAACCCTCAAGAACTGCTGTCTTGGATAGTACCTAATAATCAGGGTATTGCACAAGAGGAGGTATGTGTTTTGACTGCTGTTTGGATTTAAATTAATTCAGGTCACAACAAAATGGTAGATGCATTCACATTTATCGTGTAGTTGGAAGAGAATGTGTAGTAGGTCTTGGCATATATTTTTAACCTTTTTTTTCAGTTTGACAAGGAATATAGGACCTTTAACTGCATTAGGCAAATTTGAAGTTCCTACTTTTATGAATGTTTGTAAACTAACAAAGTACTTCTCTATGTGTTTAAGTAGCTTATCTGGTTTGACTTACGGGCCCAGTATTTTAATCAGTTATTTTTTAGTTATTGTAGGTAAATCTAGTGAGATACACTACTTAAAGAAGCTGTTACATACTGTCAGCATAATTTTGAAAACAGAAATTGATTGTGATTCTTCTAACTGGGTAAACCACCATAATTTGTAGAAGTAAAACCTTGTCTTCTCATAAGTACAAGAAAATGGAAGTTTTCTATGATTCAAGATGCTGTAATGCAGACTTTGAAGATGATAATTAAAATGGTTTAATTAGGGGTAGAACTCTTTAATAGGTTTAAGTGGATTCTCATTTTAGCTGTCTTTATTTTTTGTAGCAGGCATTAGAGGAGACACCGAGTGTTCCAGAACAATCTGTTTTAGCAAGCAGAATTTACAGGTGCCAGCTGCAGTAGAGAATATCCCTGCCTTTCTGCTAGTAACTTTTTATCTTAATTTGTCCAAGCCTCTTTCCTTTGCACTGGAGGATTTGGGTGTTCGGAGCGGCAGGAACAACAGGTCTTCCCATGCCTCCATAATTCCTGGTTAAGATGGGAGACGCTTCATGTCAGCCAGCACAGCCCATCTGCTGTGTTGGACCCTCTCGTTACCGAGGTCCCCCCTCGTCCTTTCTCGGCTCCACTGGGGACAGAAAAGGCAGTGTGGCTAGCGCGCAGCACCGGGGGCTCGCCTGTCCAACCTGGTACAGCTGAGCTGTTGAAGGGCTCTGGCAGTATTTCTGCAAATGTAGGTCTGTAAGCCTTTGCACAAGACTTTTTTTTCAACATTTGACTCTTGAAGGTGGTTGGTTCTTATTTCACAAAAACAATGCTGACAAAAAGCTGGCAAAAGTTCTGCGTGCTGTTGAGTCTAGTCATACGTCTGGTTGGTTTGATTGCTTGGGTTGGGTCTTTTGGCAGTTCTTTGCTATTCATTCAAACTGTAGCTTACAGCAAGGCCATGCTGTAGTAATAGCTCAGTTCTGCAAGGAATCAGGCTTTTTATTTGTCTCTCTAATGTGCAGGGTTTTTTTTTCCTCAGTTAATATAAAGGCTTAACAAAGTGATCAATCCTAAAGAGTTTGACTTAAGTCATAAAATGCTGTTTGAAAGCTGAATATTGCAGTTTCATTTTGGCACTGCAAAATTACTGGAGAAAGCTGGTAGCTAAATAACATAAAAATAGAAAAATTACTATACAGTCCATTTTCAGGAATTGATATGTGTTTACCAAGATGTTTGTCTTAATAATCTTTTACCGTTTGCCATGTGAAGTGCTATTAAAATCTGTTTGGCTGATATTAGTCCCTGTTATTTTCTTGTTCTTTTTAATGATGTAGTCAGCTTAAATGTAAGTAATACTTAATTTTGAAAAGTCACTAAGCAGTTACATTCGGCCAAGCCAATCAGAAAAAGGAGGAACAGAAAGATTTTCTACATTGTTGTATTTGTGAATGTTAAGCAAATAAAAATGCGAAACATGTAATACTAGGACTCCTCTATTTCTCAGAAATAATAGATGCAATAGAGCTCCTGTACTAGCTCTTTAGCTTTGACTTATGTTATGACTGTGAATGAGCTACATCTAAAATATAATCGTTTTTTGTTTTGCTCCTTCCATTTATAATACATAAAAAAGCAAAAATCTGAGAATTGTTTTAACTTGCAGTTTCATATGACATTGTCATGATTTAGTATTTGAAAGTTTTTTCAGAAGAGGAAGCTTTTGCTTTCAGGAAATTAGAGAAAACATGAATTGCTACCCAAAGTTGAAGTTCCTGTGCATAGATGGCATATCTTGTCCACTGTTAGACATAGAAAACCTTTTCCAAGTGGGCATCAAATACTTTCCAGTTACATTTTAATCATGAATTACAGCCATGGAGCGTTTTTTACAAATCATAAATAGATACAGAATATCCAGCTGCAAATCTCAATCCTTAACTTTCTCTATTTCTTTAATATGCATGTATGATGGAAAAGTGAGTCTCCACAGGGTAAGGAAATGAAAAATGGCTTAGCACAGTAGACACCTCCAGAGTTGAAAGCAAGAGTGCCTGCAGCTTCACCGAAGAGCTGTAAACAACGCTTCTCTTGCCAGACAGGTAGATACGTGGCTGAGAGATAATGGGTGCACATTTCTGAAAGAGGCTGCTCAGCTTGAAGACTGTATTGGCTCAAATCCTAGTCAGGTCTCACCCATCAAGAACTTACTGTTGTAGCTGTCATTCAGTGGCTGAATGTCCAGAGGGGCTCTCTAGAAGCCCCGGGGCTCTAGCTGACATGCTAAGCTTGCATTTTCTGCAGATCATACACTAGAGATGTATGCCCTCGCCTGTGAGTTTCTAGGATGGTGGGTGCTTCCAGGAATATTGATTAATCTTGGCTGGTTTAATACTGTCATCTGCCCTCAAAGTAAAGCTGTGGGTTTGACATTGATTTGCCACTTAAGAATTGAGAGTGAGGGTAACAGATTCGATATTATGATTTTGCCACCAAATAAAAGAGGCAAAGGGAACCAAAGTGAGTAAAGAAAGGCTCTGTTCTGAATATAAAATCTTGTGTAGCTTGTTACAAGTAGCACTGTTGTGGCAGGAGTTTGACAAAGCCATTCCAAAAGCATTATTTATAAGTGCTTGTATCTATTAACTGTGCACACGCTGTTCCATTTATTTTAAAGGCTCTCCACCTTATTGAAGAAATGGATTTGAATGATGATAAAAAGCTTTCTGAAGCAGAAATTCTTAAGAACCAAGATTTGTTTCTTAACAGCGAAGCAACGGATTATGGTAGGCAGCTCCATGATGAACGTTTCTACCATGAAGAGCTTTAGATTATTTATTTTGTAATTTGTTTTTCTTCCCTTTTTTTCATTTGGAGCTTTTGTTAAAAGCACCCATCAGCTATGTTGCAAGTTTTATGCTGTAATTACAATACAGTAATGTTTGTGTAAATAATTTGCATTCAAAATTTAATTGCCCTCCTGCAGAATTCCTTAGACCTCTTCTAGCCTTCAAAATTAATCTTAAAGACTTAGTTTCAAAATTATACAGTGCTGGGAAATAAATTACTTCAGGGGTAGTGCTGTATTGTGAAGAGTTGTTCCGCAGTACTTGAAGAAAGTGGTTCTTATCTAAATGATTCTGAAAGAATGCAAAACACGGTAACTGAGAGACTACTGTTTTTTTCTAATCGGTTTATTTAGGGTGGGGAGTGGGGAAGATGGGGGGATATTTAGAGTCAGCATTAACTCTTTAACACATTTGGAGAAACAATCAGAATAATGCCTCAATTGTTGAAGAGGTTTCTACTTAATTTTAAATATTTTCTATACTGTTTTATTGTATTATAAAACTTGATATTTTTGCATCTGTAGACAGTGATTGTTTTTAATGTAAATTCTCTAGCATTAGTAATAAAATGGTATTTTACGGTGTTAAGACCTTCTTCATTTGTTGGATTAAAACTGAAAATATTCTGTCTTTCTGTGTTTTGTCCATTTATTAATTACTGTGGGTCACCCACAGCAACCCCTTGAAATGTGAACAGTGTATGCAATGCGAATAATGTACAATGGCAGCATTCTTTGCTTTTATAAACCAAAGACATCATCTCATCTGGAGTCTAAATAGTATTAAAAAATGTGATGTGTGCATTGAGCATTTTCTGGACAAGTTCACAGAAGCACTTGTGGGTTTTTTAATTTGCAATACACGGAACTCTGAAGTATCAAGGCATTGCATAATATTTGTAGTAATAACCTCTAAAAGTTAACTTCACTTGAAAGCTCCGCAATTGCCATTCATAGAAGTGAGTCCTGTCCCATTATGTGACTATTTAAAATAGCCTGAAAGGTTAATGGCACGACAGATGCAACTTAGAAAAGTACCTGTGTTCCTTTTTTTTTTATTTCCTAGAAAGTCACAGAAATTAGCAGAATGTTCTCAACAATGACAAAACCTCACGGAACAAATTATGTATGGTGTATTAAGTTTTTTTTATTCTTTGATAAATGACTCCTGCAATGCTCTTGCAGTGTTCTTGACTAATGTTCTCATTCCTCCCAACTCTTTTTATTGAGTAAAAGCAACTAGTTCTACCTTGGTTTTTTCCCAATATATCATCTCTTAATTTGAACAAACAGGAAGCTCCTTTCTGTGCAAGTGTTAAAGTATCACCATTACAAGGCTCACAATTTTGGTTTAGAACAAAACTACACACACTTTTACTACTTTTTAGACAGTATAGTGATAGAAATTCAAAATGCTTTTCCAGTTTTAGTGGTTGGGTTTTTTTATACCCATATCTGTTTATTTCAGTTCCTGGAACATGAATACAATTATTGCCATGTTTGTGGTGGGATCAGATGTAAAAATAATACAGCCTTACTAAATCCAGTGATCCAGGAATATTAAAACAGTTGTTATCATCTTTGTTGTTTGAAATATACCCAAAGTTGCCCATTTGTTCATATTCTTTATGGCATGTTTAAGCAAGTCTTAATGACAGATTCAGCTGCATACTCAGGATTAAAAATGCTGTCATCAAATTGAAACTCCCACTTCCCAATCAAGAAGAAAAAAATGCCTTTGGAAGGATGCCTCTGTCCTTTGCCCTTTGACACAGCTCCAGGTCATTTGCTGGGTTGCAACAATTTGCACAAATCAAGAGTAAGAAGTATAGCAAGACTGGTAAAATACCAAAAGCACAGCATTTACATAGTCCGCATCCTGGAGCCTGGGCCAAACATCCAATTCATTGCTTATTTTAATATTTCTGTAAGCAAACCGCGCTAGGTATTATTAGAGTTTAGCTCACTGTAAGATAGAAATAGAACTACAGCTTCTGTCACTTTGCAGCTCTTAATGTACCAGAAAACCAGTACTTCAAAAAGAAATAATAATTGTTAATGTAACTGTGGATTTGGAGGATTTGGAGAAATGCTAAACTCAGTCCTTTGGTAATGTTGTGTTCTGTTGAACATTTCTGTAATTCCTACAGTAAATGAATGCAGATTACTTTTTATTTCTGATGTTTTTAAAATTAGGCTTCTTTTGCTTTAGAATTAGAAGCCTAATAGTGCTTTCACAATCTTAGAAAGGTTTGTGGCTTTTGATAGTTAAATCTAGTTCTTAGGTTGCCCAAATGGGCAATCCACCCCTCACATTCAGTGAAATTTATCTAAATACTCTACACAAGAGCAACTCCAGTATTTTCAGGGTTGTGCACTGACAAAGTCCCTTGCCTAGCTAGGCAATTTTTTTTTTTAACTATGCTGAGAAAAAGTGCAATGAAACAAACTATCTCAGGACTTAAAAGCATTTCACTGTAGACAGAAATGAAATGGAAATTTCAATGCCTCAGAGCAGAGATTTCAGCACTTCAGCGTAGCATAATTTACTCTGTATAGAAGGAATGACTGGTACTGAATGTGGGATTGCCAGAGCCTGCAGAAGTCACACACAAAGTAACCCAGGTTAGCCTGGTCTTAAATGTTTCTTGTTGACCTGTTCTTTTTAGAAAGTTCTGAGCTTCCCTCTCTGGTAGCTCCTTTCCTGCTACCACATTTTACAGGTGGTCTTCCACAACATCCAAACTTCAGCTATAACCACATGTGCCCAACCATGAAGGCATTTTGGAACAAAATACACAACTGTGTCTTGTTCTGTTGTCATGTAAAACTGACACTTTGTTTTGAAAGAGCCTCCAGCCACAGATCAAATATCCTACAGATCAGACCTCTCAGAGACATACTAAAGAATCCTCTTCCTTCTGCATCTCTAGGCCTCCTCCAGCAACACCCACCGCAGAGACTGCTTTCATACCCCAGAAGAGAGATGTTGAAAAACTACATGACTGTTTGTGTCTGGTTTCTTAGGGACATAATACTCTGGCAGTCTTTGTGTTCCTGTCTGTCTTGCTGCTATTGGAATTTTGAGTCTTTTCTCATTTTCTTGCCAATCACAAGCCTCACTGAACAAGAACTGGTTGTAGGGATATTTTAGAAAGCAGAGCAGATTCAGCTAGTGCTACAATTCATCCCAGAATCCCTTCTGAGAAATAAGGCTTCATTCAGTTAAACGGTGCAACTTCTACCCGCAGATGTTTTATGAGTATGGTTCTGGTTACGGTCAGCTGGAGAAGCTCAAAACAGCCAGTTCAAAAAAAAAAAAAAAAAACCAAAAAAATTAAATCCAGAATTGAAACCTTGGCTTTGACTTCTAGGACGAGAAAAAAGAGAGATGGTGAAGGTTAAGTGTCATATTTTCTTTGTCAGTACTTAGGTTTGAGTTGGAGAGGCACCATACTGCAGCATGTTGTACTGCAGGTCTCTGGCCTGTTGCATCTGATCTCACTTTGTAATCAGCAGAGGCAGAATACTCCCAATTCAAATATTAAAGCACTCTGTCTCCATGTAATAACCATTCAGGTTTCTAAAGAGAGAGACTGAGCATTCTTTTTGGCAAGATAATCTCACATTCAAAATTAGTTATGCCTAAGTCAGGGCAGTCCTCAGCTTTGTGGGATATGCATTAGGATGATTATTTGGACAATGTGTAAGTGAGAAGAAACTTAGAGGAACAAATACTAGCTAAACTCAACAAAGAGAACAAAATTCCACTGCTTGTTCCACAATGCTTCCATGTATAAAAGCAAGGATCTACCAAAATTTGATTTCTAAACAAACATTGCATGTAAGAATGTCAGGTGAGCAGAACAAAGAGAGGATAGTGTGACAGCAATTAGATGAAGTATCAGTATTACAGAGCTTAGGTTTGTAAAGTTTCCTAGAACATGAAGCAGCTCATACATTTAGTATCTACAAAAACATCCTCCCAAAAGCACTGCTCACCTCAAGGGAAGTGGATGGGTGACAGAACAAGCAAAATTGCATTGCTAGTGTAAACCAGCCAGACTTCTCAGAGGTGCACAATGAAGTGGCAGCAGGTGACAGTCACACACTCCAGCAAGGGAAAGTCTGACCAGGTGAAAATTTCACAGTAGTGGTGGTTAAGCAGCAAAACAGGCACAGAGAGGCAGTGGGAAGGCTTCCAGCCTGGAGATACAGAGCTCCAAAAATTCCAGGGCAATATGAAGTCTGCCCTGCCTGGAGCAGGAAATTGTAGCAAGAGATGTTGCACAGACCAGGAGGCACAAATAAGCCTGTTCACAGTGATCCTTGCTAAGCCATTTGGCAAGGTGTATTTATTTTTCTATATATTATAAGTTATTTGGAGTATGCAGCATTTCTAACTATGAGCTCTCCTTTCTCACTGTCTTTATAAAAAAACCCAACACTTGCTAGAAGTAATAAGAAAAACCTTTCAGAAGGTGAACACTGATCCAAATGTTGCTTTTAAGGTAACAGTTCCTCTTGTTATAACACGTATATTCTATGTGTATATAAATATCCCTTCTCTATCCAGAGGGTAGTGCTCCACATGAAGTGCTTTGTGCCCTTCTCACAAGAAGAAGTGTCATATTAAAGGGTAATTCTACAAGAATTTGGTCCTTAAAGCAGAATCCTTTGTGCTTCCTACGTGTTGCTCACAGGGTTGTGTAGCAATGTCTCTGAATGGAGGTGTAAGGCAAGACTTGTTCATGAAGAGTTTTATTTTACCAGCCCTGCTGATTTAGTACAGCAAAAAAAGAAGAGGCTGAAGAAACAATTCACAAGGAATTTACTATAAAGAAAAAGTTGAATTGTTCATAGAAAGCCAGTACTAAAACTTTCTTTTGATAATAACAACAGGAGGAAACCAAGGCAGAGCAATGTTAAAAATCAGACATTAGTCACTTAGCTAGCTGAAGCGTGGTTTCGGCTGAATCAGTATTGCCAGCATTTCTAGCATTTCATGAATGCTAGATGCACAAAATGCTACAAATGCTTTTACTGGTTCCCTGATCCTTTTTCTACCTATTGAGGTAGGTGTATGTGCCAAAATACCCAAGTACGAGTTTGCTCAAAGAGGTGGAAGATCACAGTGGTGGCTGGGTTTGTCTGAACTGTGTAAGAGGTTTTGTCTGGAAATTAAAGCAACTACATTTCAATATCCCAGACTGCTTACAGTAATAAATGTGCAGATAATTGATCTGTAAGAGTTTTACTTTTTAAAGGTTTCTGAAAACTTCAGATGCTCAGTCTTGACTTGCTACAGTTTTGCATTTGTACTCAGAAAAAAAAGGTGATATTTCTAGATCTGCAAATATGCCAAATATTTGCTAAAATATGCAGAAGGAATCTAAACTGTTGCCTCCCATGATGCTAACCAACACACTGTATTACTAAAGAAGGCACATATTTTAGGGTGACAGACCTGCTGGAGATGGAATATTTTGGACAAAGGTCCGATGCCTTGAGATTGACCAAAAATGCTGTGATTTCTCCCCAAACATAGCAGTGTCATTCAGGTGCCAGTCTGAGCAGCTGCTGCCTATGCCCATGCCCCCTGGAGCCGCAATCACGTAAGATGATTTT